ATGACAACAGGGCTGCCACAGCGCCGGTCCTCACAGCTCAAGCCCATTGACGAATGAATGACACCTACTGAAATCTGTCCTGGTAAGATTACCAAACTTTGAAGAAACTCAATGAATCTTACAAATATTTAATAGGAAGAAATAGGTGATTTATAAGCAAAACCAACAGCAACAACAACAACAACAAAAAACAGTAAAAGACTTGTTGGAACTTCTCAACAACATAATATTTCAGGGGAAAATGGAGCAAGGAAATGTCTATAAAATTTGAACAGAATAAAAATGCTAACGTCCAATAGTATACTGAACAAGCTGTTATTTAGATGAGAAGTCAGCCGAAGGGCATTCTAAATATGCAAAGAGGATTAACGCACCTTTATGAGAGTTTAACTCGGCCAGAGACGACGTCCTGGATCAGAGATTTAAATAAAACCTGAAAACCTTTCATTATCTTGGAACAGGACATGTTTTCTTCCCCGTGACCCAGCAGCCAGACACTGCGAAGGAGAAAAATGAGCGATATCCATGCTAAATACAAACAAAGTAAAACGTAATTACATATGTGACAAAAGTGCTTAGTATCTTATCACACACCAACGTTTTAACATCAACAAGAAAAGATACCCAGCCGAAAACAGCCACGTACATGAAAAGGCAGTTCATAATGGAATCTCAAGTGTGTGTGTGTGTGTGTGTGTGTGTGTGTATACATACATATACATATATATGTGTGTTCTTACCAGTAATTTAAAAAATTACAAAATTTCAAAGTGAAACCATGCTTTTCACCAAGTAGCAACATTAACAAACAAAGACAATGCCCAGTCCCCGCAGGGATCCGAGTGTCCAGGCTGCAAGTCAGCAATAGCGTTGAGATTGTAAATGTGCACACCTGTTGGTCAGCCTCTCCCCTTCCAGAACTAGATCATTACGCAGCAACTGGACAGGCGTACACAAGTATGTACGGTAGCGGTTTCCCATTCACACTGTACTGAGTGACCTGGAAGTGCCCATTAATAGAAGGTGGTTTAGCTCATTGTGATACACGCATGTGATTGGACACCGTACAGACATTCAGCCAATGGGCTGTTTCCATGTTCACAGACATGGAACGCTGTACCCATGCATGTGGTGAGATTGAAAACAGAGATGTAGAAATGAGAATTGTGTGACCACATTCATATAAAAAGATGTGTGTGCACACGTGTGTGTGTATGTTCCCAGTCACATCGCCCAGATACCTGAAAACACAGCGCGGTCACCGATGGGGAGTGAGACTGAGGTACTGTTTTTGTTTCCTTGTCGCTTCTTTGCCTAAATTTTCCTCAATGTCTAATTTTTAAATTTACAGTAAGGGAAATAAATAAAAGTGTCCTTGTTTTAAAAAATAATTCAAAGTGGCCAGTGTGGTTCAGTGGTTGAACATCAACCTATGAACCAGGAGGTCACGGTTCGATTCCTGGTCAGGGCACATGCCCGGGTTGCGGGCTGGATCCCCAGTAGGGGGTGTGCAGGAGGCAGGTGATCAATGACTCTCCCTCATCATTGATGTTTCTATCTCTCTCTCCCTCTCCCTTGCTCTCTGAAATCAATAAAAATATATTTTAAAACATACTTTAAAAAGTTCATACCAACAGATTTTGACTTTCAACAAATATTGTGGAGTTCCTTAACGCAGGCGAAGGTCTTCTTAATGCAGGCCGCCTCGATCACATCAGCATTGCAGAAATAAACAGACCACCCCCCACCCCCCAGTGAGAAGGCGCAGGCCGTGCGCCCAGAGCTGCCACAGCCAGGGTCTCGGCCACCATCATGGTGTTTGGCCGAGACTCGACCAGCAGGCAGAGGGACGCTTTGTAGGGGAACGAAGGCCTCAGGTGGGCCCTGATGGAGGCTGCCCCTGGGGAAGCTGGAGGCGGGCCGGTAGAAGCAGGGAGTCCTGAGTGATGGGCCTGGGAGCCTGTGTGGAGTTCTCGGTCGGTTCTGAGTTGGAAGTGGGGGCGAATGAGAGAGAATCTGGCCGCGGTTGACCAGGCGCAGACTGTGTGGGGCCAGTTGCTACCGAGCTTGACTTCTGGGACCGGTTGCCTCATGGTGGGTCTATGCTATCACCCGTGCTCTGGCCACACGTGTCTCTCTGTCCAGCCTCTCTATGTCCTTCCATTAATCTACAGGTTCGACCACACTGTTCCTCAAAACACGGACATTTTCCCGGGACTCAGCCAGACAAGCATCTCCATTAGCTCGGCAACACACTGGGGATCGGACCCAATTTATATTTCCATCAGCGAGCAGTAGCGGCCTCCAATTCTTTACCGACTTAATTTGTGAGTGTGAGTTACAGGCCCGGCTTCCATGCCATCGTAACGTGGGCTGTTCACAGCCCTCCTGCAGCCGCCGCCCCCACTGCGGGGATGCTGAGACCAGCCCTGTGCCCCGTGCCAACATGCATCATCTCCCCCTCCCACCCACCTCAGCATGGGGTCCGTCTCACAGAGGCGGCCACCGAGGCTGGAGGGCCGGGCGCATGGCCGCAGTCCCGTGCGGGATGCTATTCGAGCTCAGACGTGTCTACATCCAAAGCCTGTACGTCTCAAGCGACACGCGGCCCCTTGGAAATGACTCGGCCGCACACACGGCTCCCGGAGCCAGAGGCGGCTGGAGAGGGACCGGCCCGATGCTGAGCCACGGACCTTGCTTCTTCGAGGCTGTGAAAGCACCAGAACCCGTGGTTCTTTCATGGACCCGGAGGTCCCATTGGCGACAGGAAACAGAACTCCGGGACCTTCCTCCCCGGGCAGTGACTGCAACTCGTGTAAATAATGACCAACAGCTTGCCCATGGATGTGGGAAGTGCTCCCCCCTCCACCGTGTGTGCAGGGGACGGGGCACAGCCTCCTCCGGGTTGGCTGTTCCAGCAACGCGTTCGCACCGGGACAGTCGTAGATGGAAATGCCCGTCTGTTCTCTCTGGGAAGGTCCCTGACAATAGCCCGTCGGCGCTGACCCAGGGCAGAGGCAGCGCCTTCCCGATGGCCCAGTTTCCCCGCTGGAGCCGCATCCAGTCGCTCTCGGCTGCTGCTCTCTCCGCTTCACCGCGGGCGCGAACTGCAGGCACACCTTCCTTTAGGCCTTTCCTACTTGCCTGCCCTCTGAGAGCCCCCCGCCCCCCGGACTCGAGCTTGGCCAGCTCTTCTTCTTTTTTTGTAAAAAAAAAAAAAATATTTTGATTGATTTCAGAGAGGAAAGGAGAGGGAGAGAGAAAAACATTGACCGGCTGCCTCCTGCACGCCCCACACTGGGAACCGAGGCCAGGGCCCGGGCCTGTGCCCCAACCGGGAATCGCCCCATCTCTGTGGCCAGACCACCTGGATCCCCTCTTGGTTCTGCTGCTAAAGCGGCCCTGGGCAGGCACTGACCCCGCTCCTAAGGCTTACCGGGCCCAGGCGGACAGCCCCTGCGGAGAGGGAGGCCTCTGTGTGTATGGCAGCCGAGGGGATGAGCCTGTTCACACACACCCCCCTTCGCCCGGGGCCTGGCACACAGGAGGCTCCCAATACTTACTTTTCATCACGTGCCTAAACCAGCACGTCTGAGTCTCAGCTCCAGGCTGCTCCACGGGACACGGGGGGCAGGCCGGCCACATGAGGGGAGGAGAGCAGGCCTGACGGGCGTGACCCTGCTGGTGAGGCCCCTCGCAGACTCTCCCCACCAGCACCGCCCCGTGGGGTGCGGCTCCCGGGTGCCGTTCCTGCTCCGTCCTCTGCTCCAGGGTGGAGACAGGTGGTGGCCTCTCACAGCCGGGTACTCCCCCACCCCTCCTGTGATGGGCAGACTCTAAAGGGGCCCCTGTGACCCCCACCTCCCATGGTAAACCCCTCTCCTAGGGGGATAGGACAAGGGTGACGGGATGTCACATTCACAATTATGTTCCACAGGATCCCGGGGCCACTGGCTGGATGACTCCCCTGGCAGGTCTGGAGGAAGCGGGCATGAGGGGGGCACGCCACGGGCTTAGTGGGCGACATGGAAGGTGCTCCCGGAGAGGCAGACCCCCTGACAGAACACGGTCCGGGAAACGGGTGAGCGTCCAGACGCGCGCAGTGAAGAGGAAAGGCAGCGGCTCCTTAGGGTGCGCTCGCGTGTCGCAGAGCCGAACATGCGTGCGCACGTTTATTAATGTTATGTTCTGAAATAACACCTCCACAAAGCAGCAGCAGTATTTTAGAAAGGGTGTCAGGGGCTGCTATGGGGGGGTGTCAGCTTTCCTGGGGGGCGGGGTGTAGATGGGGCCGATCAGCAAAGTTTGGGGAACTGGCTCCCCAAAGATCCAGTTCCAACCCACCCACCACCGGGCACCCAGCCGTCCGTCCGTCTGTCTCATGACCTTTACTGGCGAGATTTCTGTTTTAAGATTTTGAAACGGTGACAAATTTCCAAGACAAAACATTGACCCATGTCTGAATATGTTTGCTAGGCAGGCGGCTAGGGTTCCCTCAGCAGGGCAATGCCGCTTCTGGCCTCGATGGCGAGAAGTACGGGGGGCCGCGGCGGCGCACTTTGGTGAATGTCACCAGGCTCTCAGAAAGGGAGACAGCGCGTCCCAGAAGCACGGGCCTCGCTAAGCCGTTCCAGAAACCACATTGAAAAGAAAGTGATTCCGGATCATGCTAGCACAGGATCACGGGCAGGGAAGGAGTCATAGCACTGCCATTTGGGTAAAAAGACTCATCCTTTCCGGCCAATTGAAGATCACAGCGAATGTGTCCACTGGCCCTCGGGAAAGCTACTAACGGGCCCCAGGAATGGTGTATGTCTTGCAGCGGAGGCTGGAGACGGTTAATGCTTTTTAAAACCCCATTTACTCTAGACCAGGGAGGAGGGGAAAGGGGACTCAGACAGCAGACCAACACGCAGGGGGGAAGGTGTGACTGATTTCTCGCCCATGAGTCACGCTCTACGGCGCTGGAGGTGCAATCCCAGCGTCCTTTGCACACGCCTTCATGACTTTGCTCTTGGGAAGGGAGTTTTTTTCAGCCCCGTGCCCACGCCGTTGCGGAAGGACCTTTTCGCCAACGCCTCCTCCAACAGCGGCTTCCAGACGTCCAGTCCCTCGCCCGGCCCCGCCCGGGCCCGGCAGCAGCCCAGCAGGAGGAGGGCGTAGTCAGGGGTCCCGGACACCTGGGGGCAGACGGAGGAGGGGGGAGTTACACGTGTGTTTCCACAGTAACCGTTGTCAGGATCTCACGGCCATGGACCCAAGAGACTGCTGTCAAATAGGACGTAGAGGTTCTCTAGACTCAGCGTCCTATTTGCAGCCGCCTGCCCTCCTGTCTGAGGTCACACCCCGCAGGTCGCGTGGCGCTCCGGCATCGGCGTCACACACCGGCGGAGCCACCTTGTCACGACCACTTTATGGGGAAGCTTCTGAGCTGCGATAATGAGCCCGGGAAACGCTTTTTAAATTTCACTGAGAGAAGCGATCCCTGACAACCCAACTCCAGCTTGCAGTTGGGACGGCTTCCCTTCGGGCAGGTCCTGGCCGCTGGCCCGGGTTCCCCCTGAGGCGTCGCCCTACCTACACGGAGGCGTCTGTGCCTCTGGCCTTGGGTTCGGGTCTTCGTCTGGGGCTCCCCGGTCAGTGAAGGGGGCGCTTGGTGGGGAAGAAAGAAGTCTGGAGTCTCAGAGCCCATGCTGCCATCGCGATGCTGGGGTTCAGCCCTGGCCTTGTGGGGGAAGAAGCCACGTTCAAGAGCAAAGGGCGTGTCCCAGGACACGGGGCGGGCGTGACCCAGAATCCGGTGAGAACTTTCAACCCTTGTCCTGTGTCCTCTCCTCCGTGGCCTCAGAGGCAGCACAACACGGACAAAGCACAAAAGGACACACTTTTCACTAACGGGAGGGCGAGTGCCTGGCCTGGTGCTGCGCGCTCTGGGTGCCCTCTCTCCGGTCAGCCCCTCCGCAGGCTCTGTGAGCGGTCGCCGCCTCAGTGGCACCCGCCCTGGGATGAGGAGGTCACATGCTCGGAGGTGAAGAGGGACTGGAGTCAGGGCATCTGACTCCAAGCCCACGCTTTCAACTCGACGACGGACAAGGGGGGAAGGGGAGTGCGCGCTTTTATTACAAATGAAACAGACTACAGAGTACTGATCACACACTGTCCTTTCCTGGGGTTTGGGGGACTTTGGAAGTTGAAATGGGACCAGAGGCATAGAAGCTCCCGGCCCTCTGCCCATGACTGGGAGGAGGTGGGGGGGGGGGGGGGCACGGGGTGGAAGATGAAGGCTCCCCAGTCAGAGCTCCCAGGAAAACCACGTCTACGTCTACGGGCTCCTGGGGAAAGATGGGCTTTTTTGTTTTTTGTTTTCCTTTGATCTGGGAATAGTCAGAATCAGAAACACTGAGCTCGGGAAAACCAGTCCACAGCTGCCATCTGACTGCACTGTGTGCCTCCCGTTAGAGAGGAAATCTCAGCCAGACCTGAACGCCGCCCACTGTCCGGCCCGCAAGGCCAGGCCCGGGGTCACTTCAGGAAAGGGGTGCGACCGCTCTTCCCAGAAACACCCCCGATGCCACCTTCACGTTGGGAAAGAGACGCATCGGATCTGGTCATGAGACCCCGAAAGCCTCCCTAACAGGAGCCGGTGCCCTCTGGGCCCGAGGGAGCCTGCCGAGCAGACTCATCAGTGGCCCTTATGGGACAAGCCCCCCGAGGGTGGACTTGGGGACGGACGTTCCTGCAGAAATTCCAAACGCCGGAGCCGCCGTCTGCTGCACAGTCACCTGAGCCGCCAGCTCACGCTGTGGCTACACGATGGGTTTATCATGAGAAGGGAGGGCACGGCAGAAGCAGAGGCGGACACGCGGGGGGCAGAGCTGGACAGGGGGCGCTCGCAAGCGCGTGAGGGGGACGTGTGCGCTTCATTCAAAAGGAAAACTGCACACAGTGCCTCTCGCTCAACCGGAGTGCCGGACCGCACCTTCGGGGGGAGGACAGAGAGTCGTTAGGAAGACGCGTGAGGAAATACGCCAAGTTATGGCCGGGGACTCAGCGACTCGATCGGGTGGGGCCTGACAGAATCAGTGACTACATTTGGGCGGAATGCAGGCAACACAACAGGGAAAAGGGAGCTGGAGTAATGAACACAAACGCAAAGATTAGTGAGAACGCCAATGATATCCATGACGACTGGGCATGTATTTGTTATTGGCCACTTACGTGGCATCTAAAGGTAGTTCCATAATTGCATCGACTTTAGTAACCCCAGGGTGCCAGGGGATGTTTAGTGACACAAAGTTAAAGCACGAAACACTAGGGGACAAAAACTATTTTAAAAATGCAAATAAAGAACTGACATAAAACAACAAAGGTCTCATGTGGAGGTGGTATAAAAATTCCAAGAACGCCGTGCGGCTTCTGACGTCCTGAGCAGTTGGATGGCTACAATTAGGAGCTCAGTCGATATTCTTGAATAAATACAGGAATTAATATTTTATGTGATATTTGACTGAGATCTGACATTTTATCTACATTCTACACCTGAACAAGTTAACCATTATCGCAAAATTAGGAAATTCACTGTTTTTGAAAAATGAACCATTGTATTTTTTCTGTTTTGTTTTTTTTTTTAAGTTGAATCTATTGGGGTGACATTGGTTAATAAAATGCTACAGGCTTCAGGTGCACACTTCTATAATACATCATCTGTACATTATTTCAATGATCACATGTTCACTTTGATTATGTGTGGATGCTGTGGAATGAGTAAATTGTCATGGGCAAAGCAATTTACATTTTACAGTGAAATAAATACTGTCCTATCTAGTGGCCAACTTCTAAATAATTCCAAGCACACTGTGCGATATTCCGGTATTGCCTATCGTCACATATATGCTTATTTTTACTAATTTCATGACTTTACTTACATACTTTTTTCTTTAGAAGCTCTAACAATAAGAAAATTACTTTCCTGTCACATCTCCCTGGCAATTAGTTTGAATTGGCACTGTGCAGTCCCCGCATCCACTCAGTTCTCAAAAATGGAGGCGGAACGCTCACCTTCGGCGATGGGGCGGGGTAGCACCAAAACACGGGCATCGCGGAGACGGACAGGACGAGGACAAGGTTGAATTTTAATGAGCTGCAAAGTAGAAAAAAACACCTGGGATCAGTATCGCTCAGGCCAGCACTACCTTCGAAAAGCATCTCTAAACAGCATGCACACAGACAGCATTTTTTGGGGGGAAATGCAGTCTTTTACCTGATCATCTCGGACGCTCCGAATCGCTGCGGGCCGGAGGCTTCCCTGGCGAGCCCCTCGCACTCGCTGTCGCGTCTCCGCGTCTCCGCGGCGGCCCTTTTATAGCGGGAACGTTCAGGAGTAGAAATGCCATCACGTCTCATCCTCCGTGACTAATGGGTCCGGCCGCGGCCTTTTGTTCTTGTCAAGTTCGAAAAGGACAACCCTGCCCCGGCGTTGGCATGAAGCTGCCAGCGGTTGACTCCCTTTAAAGGGCGCCGTTAGCAACGGTCCCCCCGCAGCAGCGCCTTCTGGGCGGCATCGCGGTCTCCAAGGAGCCGGAAGCCCGCTCCCCTCTGAGCACCAACACGCCTGAGGGGGACATGATCTCTGTGAGCGGCCCAGGCAGAGACTAACGCAGAGGGAACCCTGGCAAGACGGAGAGCGCACACCACACAGCCCCTGCGCGGAGGGGTATTTTCCCCAACAGATTTCCTTCTTCTTTTTTAAAAAAAATATATTTTTATTGATTTCAGAGAGGCAGGGAGAGGGAGAGAGAAACAGCCATGATGAGAGAATCACTGATCGGCTGCCTCCTGCACGCCCCACTCTGGGGATCCAGCCCAGAACCTGGGCAGGTGCCTGAACCGGGAATCGAACCCTGGCCTCCTGGTTCACAGGTCAGTGCTAACCACTGAGCCACGCCGGCCGGGCAGGCCTCCTTCCTTAGGACTCGGAGGCTAAAGCCGGGAAACAGATGTCGCCCCTGCTCTTCGCCGTCAGTCGCTCACGTGAAGGAAGGGCGCTGTCTCTACCCCCCTCCACGCACATCCCCCACGACCCAGAGTCCTGCCCCCTTTCCTCCAGGCTGTGGCCGCTCCGGGGGAGTCTGTGGAGCTGCACTGCCGGGGGTGCTCACAGGAGCACACTGATGCCGGAGGCTGCGTGTGGACGGGTTGCTGAGGCTCACGGTGGAGGGAGGCGTCACTGGCGCGCTCTGCTCGGATCCCTGGTGCTCCCGGGCCGGGGGGAGGGAGCCGGCATTTGTTGAATCCAAAGCAACCGAGGAAAATCCTTGCCTCCTCAAGAGGAGCATCTGGGGGCCAGAGCTGCCGAGGTCTGAGGTTTGCTGCCTCCTGGTCGGCCCGCCCTCCCTCTCTCTGGGAACTGCCACTCTGGAGGGTGTAGCTGTCAATCACCGAGGCCCAGGTCGCCAACCACAGGTGACCCGGACGCTCAAGGGACCCAGGCCCCAGGATGAGTGCCAACGGGGAGCAGGGCATGGGATCCAGCCCTGTGGTCACAGTCCTGCTGGGGACATGGTGTGAGATGACATGATGGCGGGGAGATATGGAGCCTTTAAGAGACCGAGGGCCGGAATGCCCGCATTGATGGCAGGGCTCCCCCTGAACCCAGACGCAGTACACACATCAGAACGAAAGGGCACGCGGGGAAGATGGCAGCACCACATCTCGTTGCGTGATGAGCAGTCGACTGAGGAGGTCTGAGAAAGGTGCCTAGTGGCGTGGTAATTTAGTGACGGGCCCACAGCAGGCATTCGCGGAATCAGTTATATTCGGATATGCAGCAGGTGGCACTAGAAAGAGGAGGATCCTTTGGAAGGTTAAGACTCAGTTCAGTCCCATGTCCCCTCCTCACCTCCCCCTAGAGCCCAGAGATGAAGAGGGAGGGGGAGGGAGGGAGGGAGGGAGGGAGGGAGAAGGGGATGCACCTGAGACTGATGATGATGTGGCCAGACGCTGGGATCCAACCGTGCTTGAAAGTAATTTCTCTCCTTGACACCCCAGTTACACAAGCCAAACACCCTTGTAGACAAAAACCAGTCATTTTAACCAGAAATGCTTGACAAACACGCCGTAGGCCAAATACAAGAGAATGAAGATCAGCCTTCATCGGGTGCTTGCTGTCTGCTGACCCCGCACAGCTGCTGACGGCGGGTCAGCTCACCGTCTTCCCCGCTGGCCCAGGTCACTGAGTGCGAAGGGCAGCGCGAGACTTTGACCCCAGCCCCGTGTGGCTTCAGAGGTCACATTCCCAACCAGTGTGTCCTGCTCCCACTCACGGGCCCAGAACATGGCCCATCGCTCAGGCGCTCAGGTCTGGCAGAGACGGCGCCTTTTCCCACCATCTCTCTCTCTCTCCTGCCCCCCCCCCCCCCCCCCCCCCCGTTTTGTGACTCTCTTGGAACCCTTTGCCCACCCTGTCACCTGAGAGTTCTCACACATCCTCATCCCCAGCCCGGCCCCACGCCCGGTCCTTCCGCTGGACCTCAGCGAGACGGCGGGTCCCCCTGCTCCCCTGCTCGTCTCCCCAGTCCTACGGCGTCTGCATCGGAGCTAACTAACAACAGGCCCAGGCCCAGGAGGGCAGCCCCGAGAGAGGGCCGGGCTCGGGTCCTGTGCGTGGCCCTGACATCCGAGGCAGGGCCAGAGCTCCGGCGTCTCGGCGTCCTTCCCAAACTGCCGATCAAGGCCTGGCTCCCGAGGACCCGAGCTGAGCCTTTCCTCACTTCCTGGGGGTCCAATCAGGACGCCTGGCTCAGCAGCTCCCAGATCGCACGCGCCTTAACCCGTGACCGTCTAAACCAGGCTTCGAATGTGGGGAGGGGATAGATGCTGGGCCCTGGATGCCTGAAACTGTGGGGTGACTTCTGGGCCTATGATGGGGGGAGTGGGTCTGGCGTCAGGGGCCTCCAGCACAGCTCCCAGGACTTTGCCCCGGCCTGGGCCGCCGCCGTGGTGACGGCACCTGCGGTGTGATGTCTGTGACAGGTATTTGTGATGCGATTAGAACATGCGAAGACCCACTGTCAACCCCGAAAGGGCAGGTCAGCATTCAGCACAGTCTTGGAATTTAAAGGACCTTCCTCATGAAAAGTTTACCCTCTTCTTGGTCACGCTGTCCCCGGCTTGGAGTCACCCACGCCCTTTTCACAGGCTCCCTGGCGACAGCCGCGTGAAGGCGGAGTGAGAAGACACGGCCTTCGGGACCTTTGCTTCTCGTTGGCCGACCCCGAGATGAGAGACATGCGGAGTCCCGCCTCCGAGGTTCAGGCACGTCCGTCAGACGGACTTTGGACGGAAAAGATCCAGAAGGCCCTCTCGTTCCTGATTTCCAGAGCTTCCTGCAGGCGCCGCCGTTCCTGCTGCCGGGCGCGCTCCTGGTGGGAACGGGACCGGGACTGTGTGCCAGCGACTGTGAGGAGGCGGGCGACACGCTGGCGAAGGTCGTCGGTTCAGGGTGATTTTAAATGTTGGTGTCTTTTTAAATAAAAACTCCACCTTTGAATCCCTCGCTCCTAATTATGATGTGCAGTACGCCCTGCAGCTCTCAGCATATGTGGGAAATCAATTTACTTTTACTGCTTCTTAATTCATACAACTGCTCCCCTCGGAAAGGACGGTTAAGGGAGAAGGCGGCTCGGTGCACTGGCGGCTTTCCTGCGGCGTCCGGAAAGGGAGGCTTTGCAGACGCAGGTGCATTTATGAAAAGAAGCTTTGCTCAGGCTCACGGCGACCCCGACACGGTGCGGGTGGGGTTGGCACATGGGCATCCAGAGTGGGCCCAGCGCTGAAGACGCAGGTTCTGTGGACACGAAAGGCGGAGACACCGGCAGGGGGCTGCCGAGCGTGGGGATGCGGCGACTTTCCCCGTCTGCTCGGCCCGCGGGTCCCAGCGGCGGCTGAAGGCATGTGGGCTGAGGGTCCCAGGGGTCGGGAGCTGCCGGGGGCGTGAAGGATGCTCAGCCGCATCCCTGGCCTCTACGGACGAACAGCACTGCCGCCCCCGCGTGAAAACTGCACGTGCCCCGGACACCACCAGTCACAGTGTCCCCTGGGATGGGAGCTAGCCTGCCCGCTGGTAACTGAGAGCTGCTTCTCTCTCTCTCTCTCTCTCTCTCGTAGATTACTGCCATCAGCCTACAAACATATTGTTGCACTTTGTATCAGAAAAAATGTCTGGTTGTTTTACTTCTTTTCAATGAAAGGCTGGTTAAGACTTGTCTGATTCAGCCCTGGCCAGTGTGGCTCAATGGATAGAGCGTCGGCCTGCAGACCAAAGGGTCCCGGGTTCGATTCCGGTCAAGGGCAGGTACCTGGGTTGCAGGTCGGGGCGTGTGCAGGAGGCAACCCATCGCTGTGTTCCTCTCACATCGATGTTTCCCTCGGTCTTTCCCTCTCCTAATCTCTCTAAAAAAATCAATGGAAAATATCCTCGGGTGAGGATTCACAACAAGGAAGAGTAGCCTGATTCAGCCGATCTACACATCAGCACGGCCCCAGGGCAGGTCTCCACTGCCTCCCCCTCAGAGGGGCTCTGGGGGCTCTGGGGGGCTCTGGGGGGCGGGGCGTGCAGCAGGACAGCGTGTGTCTGCCTGCAGCGTGGATCGCGCTTCCCGGGCTGCGCGGGGAGGCGCCGAAGGAGCCGCCCTGAGAGCCGTGTCAGCGTCACACAGGGACGCGGCAGAGGGGCCGTTCAGCTCGCTCTGGACAAAGAGCCTCAGCCGAGCGGGTGAGAAACACGTCATTTCCCAGCGCAGCCGCCAGACTGAATCCCGGGGACACTGTGGCCGGCAACGTCGCGGGACACGCAGAACACAGCCCCTGACGTGGAGCCCGAAGAGCAACCTGCACCCCGCCCTGGCCGTCCCTTTTAACACGTCTGCGCCGGGAATGGCCAAGAGCAGCTGGCGTCCTCACGTGCTCGGCTCCTGAGAGCTTCCCTTTGCTTTATACCCCGGACCGTTCCCGGCGGGAGGGCAAAGGCAGGGCGTGGAGACCGGGCCCTGTAGCCGGGCCACCAGGGCAGAGCCTGCCCATCAGCCGGCTAAGGCAGGTGCCGTCCCCTCTCCCCGCAGGCGGCCCCTGTCCTGTGGGTTGCAGCCGGCACCTTCTGCCTCCCGAACCCACTGCCCTGCGGGTGAGCGGGAGGGCATCACCGTCCTGGGACATTCAGTCCACCCCTCGCTCGGACCGGCCGCCGTCCTCCCGCCCCGTCTGTGAGAAAGTGTGAAGATGGACGGCTGGGACCCGGGGCAGCTCAGCCAGGACAGCCCACCGCCTCCCAGCCACACCCCTGATCCAGCCCCCACTCATCCCGGAGTCCAGGGGAGAGGGGGTGGGGAAGCACCCCGACAGCTGAG